TCTCTAGTGCTTAAGTTTTTTTCCAGGCATCCAGCTGCCTACCAGTATAGTAAAAATAGATGATGGATGCTGTATGGTTATATGTGAAGCTCTGAAGAACCAATCACTCAAAAACAGGCTCTGCCCTGGAGCTTGAACTCAGCCTGCCAGGTCAGAGGCCCCTGCAGTGGTGACTCGCAGGAGGGCGTTTTAAAGAGCAGGTATGCTCATAGGTAACTAATGCTTCTCAGCCAGTTCCTGGGGAGAAGCTCTGAGGTGAAGTGGTTTAAAGAGTCGGATGTGGAAGAATGTGCACAGATAAAACATCGTAAAGCACCGGTGGGCACCCTGATACGGATCATCTCCGCACTCAGCCTGACTCATAATCCGAAACCCAGGATCCTCAAAGGCTAGGCTGTCATAATGCAGGAGCAATTTTTTTAAGAGGAAATAATATGATTGAAAATGTTTGCAGCAAAGTACTTCAGAAAATAAATTTAACTCTGATTTAACAATTGTTTAGGAATTGGTCATGGTAGGGAGTAGTGAAAAGAGCTAAGACTCAAAAGTATTTTGGCTATTTCAAACTCCTAGCATTCACTGGCAACATTTCAGTCACCCAGAGAAACGTGACCATCTCAAGTACTACTAAGTCACAAGAGGATGCCGAGTACCTGGCCATTTGCCTCTTTCTCTATTACTTCATTTAGGGAATGTAGGAGAAATCAGTTATGAGATTCTGAGTCCAAAACAACCTGTGTTAATTACTTTTTCTACTCAGATAAAAATGGAACTTTCCCCTGGGCATAGCCTGTTTAGTTATTTATGTTATGTAAGACAAGATCAGAGGGATATACCTCCATAAAAAGGCAACTAAGAGAAGCAGGGAGAAAGTATCCATGGATGTATATGTATATGTGCATGAATTTCCAGAATTTCATATGGTATGAAGACAACTTGCCTTAGGGCTGGGTAAAGAACTTCTGAATATCCAGAAGTATGAATTTAAAGATTTCGTATTCTATACTCAATAACTCTTAAATGCAAATTATAGTTTAAACTCCGGGTAGCTAATTACTAATGTAATAGAGTATAATGGGTGAAATAATGGATCTAGAAATCACCAACAGGATTCAAACTCAGATAGATCATTTATTAGCTCTGTGATCTTGGTTTGGTTTATTAATCCTGCTAAGTCTCAGTTTTAGTACCTAAAAAAATAATAATAATAATAAAGCTGGTAGAGGAACTGGTACCCAAAACCCACAGGGCCAGATACGTTTTGGAATTCAGAACTCTTCGCACTTTAGAAACATACTAAGCTACATAAACTATATAGGAAGTAACACTCTCAGCACGGTCTGGGGCAGCACCCTGTAATCAACCACATTAGCATTTCTGCAGTGAAATATATGAACAGTCACAGTAATGGGATGCATTATGACTATAAATAGCCTCAAGTCACTTCTGCTACCTGAGTTTGTAATAAGCATACAAAAAAATCTTTCAGAGATTTTTGTATTTTGGACTTATGGCAAAGGGAGTGCAGATCTGTTTTATACACGTTTGTGTACATACGTGTATGTACATATACACACACATGCACACACCTATACATACATATATACTTATGTATGTGTAGGAGGGACAGCTACTGTTATTCATAGAATCAAAAGGTTTGTCCCCATCTTTTATAATAGTGCTCAACGCATAATAAACACTCAGTATTGGCCAGAATGTTAGTTGCCTAAAGGCAAGGATTATTGTTTTGTTCATTAATATGCCCCCATGTGCCTAATAGAGCGTCTGGCACATAGGAAAGGCTCAATAAATATCCGTGTAATGATTCATGATATCTCCTCATACAGGCTTTCTTCATCCGAGTACAACCATGTGAAATGAGATACATGATCCTTGAGGAGGCTCAATTTGTTTTGCAAGACAACACCGTAGAAGCCGTAATGTGATCAAAAGTTTCTAGCGAAACACAAAGAGTTAACTCAAGTCTCAAAGATCAGTATTTAATTCCCCTCTTATTTTTCTTTTTTTAAATCACTGAATTTGGGAAATGAATAACATTGGCCTGATTCACTTCTGAATCTAATCAATTAGGAAAATCTGCCATTGGCAGGCTCGTAATTGGAATTCTACCTATGATAATGGGGTGCATCAAAATTAAAAGAAGCTTATGAACAGTTCAGAGGAATAAACATGTATCATTTTCAATAACCCACAGTATGATTTTGGAAAGCAGGCAGCACATGTCTACACAAAGAACATTTCTCTAAACTCCCAACAACAGAAAAACAAATGTAAATCTAGTCCAACACACACACACACACACACACACACACACACACACAGACTCCTCTAAACTAAAATTGTGATTCTGTACATTTGCTCCCACCTGACAACAGATGAACTAGTTTCCTGTTGCAAAGTTTATCAAACTATAGTACAAAGCACTGCTAAGCATCTACTTCAAGAACTTCCCTTTCTCCATTTTTAGGTTAATGATCGAAACAACAAATAATGAAAAACAAAAAGGGAGAAATGTCTACCTGCAATCGGAGATCTTCACATGACCTTACAATAAAATGAAACAAGATAACATCTTCATAATTGAAGCGGTAGGAAATCAAACTGAGCAAAAATGCATACTTCTTCCAAGTACTATAAACTAAAGAAAAGCTTTGGCATAGAGAGCTCTCCTGTCCATGAGAAAGAAAAGCTTATTTGTTTATGCATTGCACAAGTGTTGTTGTATTTTATCTCTAGCAGGGTAGAAGAGGTAGAAGGAAGAGCTTTCCCTAAAAGACCATTTAAGACTCTTGCCTTGGGATTATTCATATTCCCCAAGGAACCAACAGGTTAACTAAGTAACCATCTGGTCTAAAGGATTCACAGCTAAATACGGCAACCACTGGGAGCAGTCTGATGTTAAACATTTAAAGACCATAAACAGACCCTGAAATTGGGATCTTAAAAACGAAGCTTACCCGGCCAACAAGAATCGGTTCAGGTCCAGAAAACTCTTCCAGGACAAACATTTGATTCCAAACCCAGCCCCTTTTGGAGCGATTCAAAATCCGCTGTTCTTCACCCAGCCTGTTTAGTTCCAAAGGGGATCCACTCATTAAAACTTGAGAATGATTCATCGGAGCCATGAAAATGCAGGGGGGGAGAGTAATCCATAATAGTATTAATGGAGTCCAGAGATCCAGGAGCATTTCCGCTAGCCGTTCTGGCATGGTCCCACCAGTTAAGCAAATCACCACAAAAACGAGACAATTATTTTTTTTGTCTCCAATCTTTAGCCATCCAATTCATCAAGCAGTGCCGAGCATTTACTTACAGCTCTGCCATGTGTCTATAGCACGGGAAACAGACATCATCTAAGCAGCTTTTCTAAGACCACGATCCATTGGCTTTTCTTTTCATTGAAATTTCCTGCAAAAACAAGGAGGAAGAAAGATAAGGGTCCATGGAAACAGGTTTTAAAACAAAATCACTGCCTTTCAAAAGCACCTAAGTGAACATAGGCACTTCCCAAACTCCTGAGTTAAGGAAGTGGATCTGTAGAATTAGAATGAGTAGGCTAATAGTAAGTCCTTTTATTTTTAAGCTTTATTTAGATGTTGATTTTGACTCTGTGGCTATGTTACTTATCAAAAATTATTCTGAGTAATAGAAATTCCCTTTTTCCTCCTTCTTTCTTTCCTTCCCCTCACCTTTCTTTCCTTCCTTTCTTTCTTCTTAACTTACAGCCTTCCTTCTCTTTCTCCATCTCTTCCTTTCTCTCTTTTCTTATATCCTTTTCCATCGTAATACAAGTTGAGGTGTATGCTAATGTAGCACTCTTATAAAACAAACTGCAAACCTTTTTCTTTTTGTCTCTTGTTTTAACCTGTTTAAAGACAGGTTTGGGTTCATTTTATGCTAAACCCTGTGAAGAAATTAGCTTTTAATGAATAATATTTTTTTAAAAAAATTACAAACGGAGAGTGGGAAGGGGAATTTCCCCGATTTTTACAGTCTTATCTTCCCGGATCCACTAGAAGAGATTGTCCAGTTCAGGGTCAAGAACACAATTCTTTGCCATGATGCTAATAATGAGTGAATAAAATTAGACTGCTCCCAGAGAGAAATTCTGTAATGTCCAACTTGTATGCTATAATCAGGACAGTGTCAGGGTTCCCATTTTAAATGTACAGTTGAACAGGAGATTTAAATTATGACAAACTCTTTTGGGAATAAAATATGGTAAAAATACAATTTTCAATAGAAGAGATTCAGAAAGGGATGGATAAAAAAAAAAAAAAAAAGAAAAAAGAAATCCCCATTACCTGAGGTGTCAAATACATTTTTTGGCTTACCTTCAGTGTGGCAAAACGTGTTTCGTCCCTCTCAAAAAAAATTATTTTTAAGGAAATAATGTTCACTACAGATCCCAGAGAGAAGCCTCACTGAATTAGATTAAATGGGAAAATAATTCCTCAGGACACCATCAGGAACAGTTTGGCTCAGGGAATTCATAATAAGGTAGGGAACCTTTCACCTCTGGTGTCTGGTTCCATTCTGGCTCAGAATGGGAAATAGAGAAAGCCGTTAAGACTGGCTGGGCTGCTGAGTGGCCTTAGTGAAGCCAGCTGAGAGGGGCAGACCCAGATTCTGCTGCAAATCCTTGTTAGATCAGGCAGTATCTGATCTAACAAGATGGCCAGTGGAATCTCCCTGCTTGTCATTCTTTGCCTGGGCTCAGGGCAATCGCTGGGACTTTGTGCCTCAGAAGGACCCCACCCCGATGAATGAGTACATAGGGGAGCCACAGCACGCAGCAGTTGCTTTGGAAATTGAGGGGAAGATCAGCTTTCAGGAGGGAACCAACTCAGAGAAAACTGAATCCAGAGCAATGTCCTCTCCTTTCCCTGGAATTGCAGCACATTCAGGGAAATCAAGTCTTCTCTTACAACAGATTTCCCTTAAGAACTTGTCTCATTTCAGCATGAGAGCAGAACTTTGCGGGCTTCAATTTATCCTGGATGGAGCTGGAGCCCACTCTACTAAGTGAGGTATCCCAAGAATGGAAAAACAAGCACCACGTGTACTCACCACCAAATTGGTATTAACTGATCAACAATTAAGTGCACATATAGTAATAACATTCATCAGGTGTTGGGCAGGTGGGAGTGGGGAGGAGGGGATGGGTGTATTCACACCTAATGGCTGCGGTGCGCACCGTCTGGGGGATGGACATGCTTGAAGCTCTGACTCAGGTGGGGCAAAGGTAATATGTGTAACCTAAACATTTGTACCCCTGTAATACGCTGAAATAAAAAAAAATTAAAAAAAAAAACTGAAACAAAACAAAATCCGAAAAGCCCTGATAAAGAAATCTGCAAGTCTTTGTGTTTTTCTGAATGGTTGATCCACTTATTTACTTTAACAGCGATTACAGCACATCTATTATGTGCCTTGTTCTCTCCTAGATGTGCAGTGGCAGGACTGTGATATGCTGAAGAGGGCCTGTTCTGGAAGCAGATAAACCTGAGTTTGAATCCCAGCTCACTCCACTTGCTGTCTCTGTAAAGATGGACAAGATACTCAAGTTCTCTGAGCTTCAGTTTTCTCTCTTGCAAAGTGGAACTAATAATAATTTCTACCTAACAGGGCAGTAGTATGGCTCAGAAACAAGAGACATGTCAGAGGAAGCACTCACTAAACTGGTTTATCTTGAGCCACACAAGAAGGGTGGTGATGTCATGGTCCTTGCCCTTGAGAAGCTTTGGTAAAAAAGACAAAGGGAAGAACAAATACTGAAGCTGTGTGTCCTCTGCAGTAAAAGTAAGCAAGGTATGGGGATGGTGCAAGGTGCTCAAAGATCTTCCCTAAGGTGGCATATGGGAGGATGAGGATGATGCTGATGATGGAAGGGCTGGACCATTTTACACACATGGTGAGACTCGTTCCGGCCATGGAGCTTCAGCCTAAACACTTCTCAGGGAAAAGGGACTTATTCTCTCCACATGTATCCAGCTCCATGATCAGTCATACCTGAGTGCACAAAAGCCATGTAGGCTGTTTTCCAGTGGCAGAACAGTGAGATGGTCGTGAGAGTGATCTCTAGTGTCAACCTGTGTGGGGTTTAGACCCTAATCCTTACGTTTACCAGTTGTCTAACTGGGGAGCAGTTAATAACAACAATTATAATAAATCTTACCTACCAGGTCTGTTTTGAGGACTAAAGGAGATTGTCTTGGTAAAGCAGTTAGGATAGACTAGCATGTACGGTTCTTTAAAATTGTGCCAAATACTCTGCAAATAGACTCTGGTATTTGCTTTGTTTTTAATGATTCTGGGATAAGGAAGTTTCATCCCAATTTAAGTTTATAATAGACACTTCCTTCATGGAAAACACCAAGTGGCACACAGAATGGAATGTGGTAGGATGGGTACCCTATCTGAGTGCAACAGAAGCAGGTAAAATGTGGTAATAGACCCTGAACCAACGTTATACAATGGCATAGCTTCATTAGCCAAAATGACTAGATTAATAAATAAACGAATATGTGTACAGCCACAAATAGTATCCATTAACGCAATATTTTACAGTTAGATAAAGCATGCAATGCCTTGCCTCGTTGTGTTCAAAACTTATGCAGACAATAATTAAATGACTTGCCTAAGGAACACCTCCAGTGTAAGGAGCAGAACCAGTATTTGAATCTAGGTAATATAACTCCAAAATTCTCTTTCTGAACACAACCCCTCCTGTCATGATAGAAATATTTGATAAGCATATGCTATGTGTCAGGCACCAGGGATAAAAAGGCAAACAGGTCGGAGCTCCTATCTTCAGAAAGCAAAGAATGTAACTGGCAAAGACAAAGGAATATATAATTAATTCAGCGAAACTTACTCTTAGAAAGGCTAGGGGAATACAGAGGAATGGGTATGCCCCTCATCTTGGAAGCATAAAAGAAGGCTTCCTAGGTAGGCTGGGCATGGTGGCTAATGCCTATAATCCCAGCACTTTGGAAGGCCAAGGCAGGAAGATTGCTTGAGGCTAGGAGTTCGAGACCAGCCTGGGCAAGAACGAGACCCCATCTCTACAAAAAAATCAAAAAATTAGCCTGTCGTGGTGGCCTGTGCCTGTAGTTCCAGCTACTTGGGAGGCTGAGGCGGGAGGATCACTTGAGCCCAGGAGTTTGAGGCTGCAGTGAGCTGTGATCATGTACTGCACTCTAGCCTGGCAATAGAGTGAGACAACGTGTCTAAAAATGAAAATTAAAACCTAAAAAGAAGGCTTCCTGGAGGGAGCATCATGTAAATGTTGAGAGTAAGTTACCCAATTAAGGAGGGCGAATGTGTGAGAGAACATTTTAGTCAACTAAAGGAACAAGACCATCAACCAAACCAGATCTCTGAATAAATCAGCACCTAAAGTCGTTTTCAAATTGGTACTTGCAAGATCACCCAGTCCATGCTCACTCTGTCTTTCTCTCTAACTACCAAATTCACATGAGTCATGATCCCCACATAGTACATGTCAGGTATGTTGTCCTCTTTTCTGCCAGTTCTTTGTGAAAAGGAGAGTATGTTTGATTTTTCCAAAGGTTTGGCCTCCCATAGAGAGGGTGTGGGAGACAACTGAGTGCCAGTGCAACTTCTCAGTTTGCAGAGAGGTGGGCAGTAATTTGACCAATGTCCTGCAGTCAATGGCAAAACCCTGGGAGGAAATTAGTCCAACTCAATGCAAACCCTTCATCAATATAAGTCATTCCCACCACTCCTCTTTGCACAGAGCTTCTGGCAACTGAAACACTCACATGCCACTTCCTTAAATTTTGCCAAATTGGCTCAGTTTTTGGAATATTTATTTTAAAGTGGAAAGTCAATATTATTTGCCATCACAGAATATAATTTTAAAATTACACTTAGAAAGTGCCTGGATAATATTAAATCATAAAGAAGAATGACAAACACACACATATACATCTATTCATATCTACTTTTCAAAATAACTCCGTAAGTATTTATTACTTTATTATCATCATTTCCACTGTAGAGGTAAGCAAATTGAAGTACAAAGATATTAGTATTTCAAATGATGTTTTATTTTCACTAAGCTAGATACTACCAAAGCCTGAGGTCATCTCTTCATGAAAAAGAAAGACCAGAAACAGGTAAGAGCAGGCTGGTAAGTATTGAACAAGTGGTTCTCTGAAAGAAAAAAAAATGATTTTAGTGT